TCAAGCAGGTGGGCCCTGAACTTGACAAGTGCGTACTTCATCGCAAGTAGCTCTTTGTCTTGAACTGGGTATTTCTTCTCTGCGGCTTTGAGCTGTCAAGACTCGAACGCGATCACCCGATCTCGCCCCTCGGAGTCTGCTTGCAGCACAGCACAGCCGATGGCAAAGTCCGAAGCGTCACAGACGACGCTGAAAGGACGATCAGGGCCTGGGAGCGCCAGTATTGGTGTATGCAGGAGGCTGTCTTTGACCGCGTCAAAAGTCTCCTGATGTTCGGTGTTCCAACACCTTTCGCATCCTTTTTAAGGAGATCGTACAATGGCCGGGCAAATTTCTGCGTAAATTACGCTGTACTTGTGTAAGTAGATGGCGAGACCAAGCCACTTACGCAAGTCCTTCTGGTTCTTTGGAACCGGCCAGTCTACGATGGCCTTGACCTTAGCGGGATCCGCTCGAAGGCCACGCTTTCCAATGAAGCACCCTAAAAAGGGGATCTCTTCTGCGCCAAACATGCACTTGTCTGCATTGGCGTACGGTTTGTTCGTACGCATGCACTCAAGCACAGTTTAAAATGAACGGTGTGGTTTTCCTCATCGGTCCTCCCGTGCTCCGCACGACTGTGAACAGAATCGTCGTAAAAGTATGTCTGTGCATACGCCCTTTGGGGCCTGAACAACTGCGTCACAAGACGATTAAACGTCGCTGGTGCATTTGACAGCCCATGGGGCATCACCAGCCACTCCCCGAGCATGCCGCTTGGAGTTCTCACCGCTGTTAGCGGAATGTCACTCGCTCTCATGAGCAATTGGTCATACTCATTGACCAAATCGTGTGCACTGTACTTCGTACATCCCACCATGTTATTCTGAAGAACATCCTTTCTAGGAATTGGCATGTTTGCCGGAAAGGTGGCAGCGTTGAGCTTATTGTAAGCATGAACGATACGCCTCTTGCCATTCGGCTTCCGAACACAAAACGTGGGTATCGAATGGGGCAACTTTATCTCACGAAACATTCCTGCGTCGTGCTTCGCACGGAAAAAGGCGTCAACGACGTCGCACTTCTCCTTGGGCAGGGGCCATTGGCGTGATACGCAGTATTTGGTTCCCAGAACCAGGTCGATTTCATGACGCATACCTCGGTCCGGAGGTAGGACCGAAGGCGGGTCTTTGGAGACGACGCCTTGAAAACCCTTTACCAAAGGATAGTACGGATCCAAGTTAAACCGTAGGATCGACGATCCACTTCGTGCGTCCAGCACTCTCTTAGTGTCTTCTAAGACAGCTTCATCCAGAAGCGATGACAAGTTTATCTCCTCGTCCGGTCGTACAATGA